AGCTGACATTTCCAAAGGGCTCCTGGCTGGACCCCTGCTCTGGGCACACGTTCTTCAACAGCGAGGAAGGAGGGTGGGGAGATGAGCTTTCTCGTCACGGCACCTAATGGCCGGGAGCCTCGCGCAGTGGAAGCTGTCAGGCTGGGCGCTCGTCACCGGCAGAGTCACCAGAGTCTTGGGGAAGAAAGAAAGCATCACGGCGTCGCATGTCCTGACTCCAGAGCCAGACGGCTGCGGGCAGCACGGGGCCGCCAGCAGGTGCTGAGGGGCCTGGAGGGAAGGGCAGCCGGGGACTTGAGAGCCTCGGGCCCAGTGAGCCTTTTATCCTTGCAGGAGAGCATGCTGGGAGTTGCCTCATTACCAGGGAAATGCTGCCCTCCTGGCAAGGGACCCCTGTCCACCTGTAACAGACCCTGCGGCCTGGGGCAGCCGGCGCGTTCGAGGAGACGAGGGGTGGCTGGCGGGCGGGCGCAGGCGCTCGCCTCTCTGGCCGGAGGGGCCTGCACGGCCCAGAGCCCTGCTACTCGTCCTCATCGTAACTAATGGCTCCCGAACAGGTCCCCGCTCTCCAAGACAGTCTGTGTTCCTCTTCGTGACACGCTCGTTTAATTTTTAACTCACAAGGCATTTGCTTATTTATTTTCATTGTTCTTGATAATAATTCTAAGCCATTAGAGGGGAAAATTATATTCAAAAATGCTGTTTCACACTTTATTTGTTTGATGATTTAGAGCGATAGAAAATAGCACATTTGCTGGCTTTTATAGTCTGATAATTATTCACATCCATCAAGCCATTCCAGGGGAATAAACAACACACCAAGAAAATGACACTATTAATAGCATCCTCCGCGGCGGACAGGAAGACTTTCCCGGGCCGGTGAGTCAGTCAAATGGAAGCGGCGTGTCCCTGGGCCGGCCGGCGGGCCTGCCCGCGGAGGACACATCGCCTTTTAATTGCCCAGCTCTGTCCGGCCCCGAGAGCTGCCTGGCTGCCAGGCGGAGGCCTCTGCCCGCCCCAGCACCCCCGACCTGCCCGGTGTCACAAGCCCTGGAGTGTCTTTATCAGGCCCACGGAGTCTGTCGTGACCTGTGCCGGCAGAAGCCTCCTGACGTCTGGGGCCGTGCGGTGTCCCGCCTTGGACCCGGCCTGGCCTCAGTGGGGCTGGCAAGACATCCTGTCCTCTGGCCTCACCGTCAGAACAAGAGCACTGAGCCACGCGCTGCCCCTCTCCAGCACGCGTGTTCCTGACCCCCCTGTAGACAGGTCCGATCCTCCCCAACACCAGGCTGTGGGTCCTGGATGTGACTGCTCACCGCCCTGGACCCAGCCCTGTGGGCAGGTTTGTGGGTTTCAGCTTGGCCTTTTGGGGCGGCCGTGATTGACGGGGGTGCGTTGTCCACAAGCACCTCAAAGGGTAAACGGAGGACCAGGAAACCCCGGGAAGGCTGGGGGACGCCCGCCTTCCCAGAGTGACCCATCCCGCCCCTCCTCGGACCCAGGCATCGCTTCCTTCTGAAACTCGCTCTCTGGACGTCGGGCTGGCCCCTCACCATCGTGCCTGAAGTGTGTTCCTTCTGTTTGGTCGGTTGTTTGAACCGTGAAACGGCGGGACTGTAATGGCCTTTCAGCCGTTGCACATCACGCGTCTTCCCTCCTCACCTGGGGGCCCGGTTCCCGGGGCCCTGGTCTCTCCCGCGTGCCTTTTTCCTAGTCTAGAAATGTCTTCTTTTCCCACCAAAGCCCCTGATGTTTGCAGACGGCTGCCTCTCCGAAAAGGGCGTCTGGCAAACGAGGCCTGAATTCGGCCTTCTCGGTAATTTCGCGGCATTAAGCCTGGAGTTATGGAGCCTGTCGAGTCCTGCTGCAGGGTCACCTGGGGTGGTTGCCAGGGATACCGCTCCGACAGCACCGACTTTTCCGTGACTTTCCGGTTTAGTGTTGTCCGGGAGGACTTTGTGGGGAAGGTTCCAGAGCAGAGAGAGTGTGTGGAGGGGGGAGGGCTGGGGAAACACGGAGATAAAAACACCCCGTGGGACACTGTGGAGAAAGTTCCAGACGCCTGCCTGGCCGACCTCAGGTGCAGGACTCACCGTGGGCCCGAGGCTCGGCCAACGCCCCCCTCAGACAGGCCCACGGCAGCTGCCAGCCCGTCCCAGGCAAACGGGGGCTGCAGCCAGAGGCGCCCGAGCGACCCCACGCGGGCCGCCGTACCTCCTGCGGCCTTCCCCGGGGCTCCCCTGGCCCCCGCACTCCCCGTGTCTGGTTCTGCTCGCCGGGCCCCAGTCGGCTCGCCCCCTCCCACCTCACTGGGTTCCGGGGATTGCTCTGCCCCCATGTTTGATCCCGGCTTCTCCAGATTCCTCCCCGATGACAGGTGTGCCCCTGGGCCTCGCACCCTCCGGGCCCTACAGCTGGCCACCCGGACTGGACTGGGCCCGGGGAGGCTGTCTGTCTGAGGACACCGTGCAGGAACGCTTTGCCACCGGGCGACGGGCCGCCGCGTCCAGAGACTGGCCGCTGGGCTTGCAGGCCGGCAGAGTGGATTGCTGTTGGCCGTGAAGTTTGACCTTGTGATGGGGACGGAGGTCCTGGGGAGCGAGACAAATTGCCCCCATGTTGGTGACCAATAAAACCGACTCTGTTTTATGGCCCCGAGAACTCGCTCCTAATGGCCAGACAGATGCTCCTGCCTCGGGGGTTAGCGAACAAACACGCTCAACCCAGATAGCTGTGTTTCTTTCCTCCTCCTTTCCCTCCCGGAGCCGGGCCGGGGGGCAGCGAGGCCCCCACATGTGGCCGTGACGAGGGTGACCCGGCTCTGCTCTGGGGGCCCCGTGGGGCCTGGGGGCTTCCCTCCGGGGACACGTGACCGTTGCTGTTGGGAGGCCAGGTCTGTAGCCAGCTCACCTGGGCCCCCAGCGTGGAGGGCTCCCCAGGGCGCTGGCTTGGAGAGAGGGCTCCGGGGGACCCTGCCGCCCACAGTGCCGGGATCCTCCCGGCCGTCGGAAGGCCCCAGTGTGTTTTAACAGACGCGCACCCGCCCCTCACTCAGAGCCGTGTGTCGTAAAGCACCCACACCCCAGTTCTGCTCGTCTCCCCTCAAAATCTGAGGCTTGCGTCTTGCCGAGCCCCTGAGGGTGCGCAGGGGGCGCGCGTCGCCGGCGCCGGGCCTTCTCAGCATGCTGAGGCTGTCGAGCGTTGTTCCAGGCGGCGGGAGGGCAGCTCTCCCTTGGCCACTGGAGTCCAGAAGTCCCCGAGGCTGTCGGCTTCCCGTCCGCCAGTCCTTTCTAATCCCTCCAGGGGCTGCGCTTCTCAGTGCTCAGCCCGGCGTCTTGCGGTCTGTACTTTCCGATAACAGAGGAGCCACGTTCCAACGTATTAAACTTTTAACATCCACCAGATTCAATTAATCTTATCTTTACAACTCCCAATTACAGGCGGTAATTAAGTGAAAGCAGCATTGTAGACTGGGGATATTGCATTAATCATCACAGCCTTGGAGTCATAAATTAGTTCCTCCCGTCCTCCGGCAAGTTCCCAGAAGGACTGGAATGTTTCATTTCCTTGTTTGGGGGGGACGTTAATCCCACAAAGGTGCTTTGGATTGGGATTAACTTTTATCATCTTTATGTACGTGATACGAGGCTGTTTAAAAAAGAGTCACCTCATCTTTGTCCAGACCGTGGAAAGTTCTCCAGCAGCAGCAGCAGACTTGCAGGTCCTGTGCTGTCTCCGCAAAGAAATTGATTATTTTTGTCCGTCGGATCAGAGACGGCGTTATCTCCTACCCCCGCCCCCTTTTATTTTGTTAAAAAGCAATAATAAATGTCTCGGTTGGAGTGGACTTAGCCCGCCACGGAGTCCGGGCCGGCTTCTGTGTCCTGTGTTGTTCCTATCCTGCGTCCCCCACTGTGAGTGTGGGCGGAGGGCGTGCCGCGCCCTGCGCCCCCCCACATCCGACTCGTTCTAGAACGAGAGGCGTGCGGACGCAGCGTCTCTCCCCTCGGCACTGTGGACACGGGGCGGGTTGTTGTCCCCAGGGCGTCCCGGGCACTGGGTGCGCTGAGTGGGATCCCTGGCCCCCCCCCCGCCAAAGGGGGGGGCCCCCCCCCCCCCCGGTGTGACAACCACGGATGTCCCCAGACGTGGCCCCGTGACCCCTGGGGGCGGGGTCGCCACTGTCCTGGGGACTCATGTGCTCCCCGCCTCCTCCTCTGCGGGACAGACGGCCTGTGCTCAGCACTTTTGTGGCGCGAAGGACCGACGTCCGGTTCTGCCTGCCTCTGTTGAACGCGGAGCTTTTCGTCTTGCCGGGGTGGCCAGGGTGCTGTGTCAGCTGGGGCGGGCTCCTCGCACCCCCCGCCGGGCCCCCCCCCCCCCCCCCCCGTGGCCGCTGCCTGCCGGGAACGGGTCCCAGGCGGGCCCCCGGCGCCAGCCTCTGCACACAGCGTTAGCGGGTGTCACTCTCGTTTCATCTGTTGGCAAACTTGCACCTCACGTCTTTCTTGTTTATGACGGGGACTCAGCAATCTTTCAAACGTAGAACGTGTGAAGCTAAAACTTACAAGTGGTGACAAACGGAGTCTCGTTCCTGAAGCTCCTTCCCCGTCGGCTCCTGGTCCCCGGGCTGGGGGAGCGGGAGGCAGGGAGGCGACAGAGGGAGGCTGGGGACCTTCCTGTTCCCCCCTCAGGCCCCCTGCTTGCTTTCTCCTGTTCCGCTCTCTGAGCCTCGTGGAGGCTTTGGTGGCTCTGACCAGTGCCGGCGTGGGGCGGGTGCCGTCACCGCCGTGGAGGGGCCCTCCCGCCCCACCCCTCCTCACTTCTGTGTGGGTCCCTCCCCCGGCACCCTCCCTCCTGCTCTTCACCCTTCTCACGGCACCCAGTTCTGCTCTGTGCACGGCCCGCATGTCTCCCCGAGGCCGTGGCCGCGGCCCCAGGTCCCTCAAACGCGTGGTGGCCCGTGACCTCACCTCTGACGTGCCTCCCTTCTCTCGTAGGTACGCCATCCCACCGGAGCACGGCAAGCGCCTGGAGCGGCTGGCCATCGGTAGGTGTCTGCCCCCTCGGGCGGGGACCTGGGCCGAGGGCGGGGGTGGGGCGGGGGTGGGGGCTGGCCCCGGCGTCTCGGGTCGTGCTCCTTGTGTGAGTGTCCATCTCTGGGGGGGCTGGCGTGCTATAAGGTGTCCCTGTCTGGTTTTCCATTCCCTTTCCCTCTCGTGACCACAGACCCTGCGCTGGGGTTTGTCGCTCTGTGAGTGACGCACAGATGCCATTGCTTGGAGCGCTCTTTCCCGGCGTGTTAGCACGGAGCTGCGGGACGTGACTGCAGGCTCCCGCGGGCCAGGGAGGGCGGCCGTGGTCTTTCGTCCCCCCCGGCGCCTGGTACTACATCGCGCCCTCCTCTGGGCCTTCGGGTCTGTGTTCAGTCTGGAAAGTGAGACGTCCAGTTAGGAGCCCCTGCCCTGTGCCCCGCAGCCGCATGGTGACCGTGAGGGTGTCCGCCTGCGTGTGCTGGCCTGGGCCCGAGGGGGCCTCCTGGGAGGACGGGATTTGTCACGGTGAGTCCCCAGCTGTGTCCAGAGAGAGGGCACTGACGCCTCGGGGTAAAGGCAGGCCCTCGGGACACGGGATCCTTGGAGACAAGCCAGACACCGGGCTGCGTGACGCTGAGGCCCCCGGCCACTGCGACAAAGGGGCTGGTGAGGTTTCTCACTGCTCCCCGTCATGGCGCCCTGCTCTGTTCTCACGTCGGGTGGCCCTGAGTGCCTCCGAGGACGTTAACAGACCCCGTTGGCCCAAAGTGTCTGGGCCTCGCCGGCAGGCAGCACCCGGTAGTCGGGGTGGGTGGGGTGATGGCCCTGTGGTTCAGGAGCCCCCTCGGGACAGTGCGGGGCCATCCCTTTGGGTGGCTGTGGCAGCAGCCTGCCCGCCCTCCCCTGGCAGCCAGGGGAATCTTCCAGAAGCCATCGCTCAGCATTGGCACAGCCTCCTCAACTTCCTGCTGGGTCCTTTGACCCCTCCTCTTGCCTCCCTCAGAGAGTGCCCGCCACCCTCTTCCCCTGCCCCTTGTGGCTTGGGAGACGGAAACGGTCGCTGTTTCCGAGAACTTCTGGGAACTGGCCGCACTCGGAGCCGCACGTCTGTTCAGCAAACGCCTGCTGCACGGTTTCCCCCGAGGACGAGGACACAGGGAGGCTTGTCCCGGGAGTGGGGCTGGCCCCGCGGCCGAGCGTGCAGCCAGGCTCACGTTTCCGTTGGAGACCCGGACCCGGCCTTCCCGGGCTGGAGCCTGCTGTCGGGAACACGCTTGCCACCCTAGAAATGCCAGTTGCCGCCCTGGCAAAGAGCGATTTCTCTTCCTTCGTAGCATCTCAGGTGACACCCAAATGGAAATGCTTCCCCCGCACACTGTTTCAAACATAAGTTGGAAACGCAAATACTAATTGGGAAATACAAGTCGAGAAATGTCTTTCTTATTTTCCTCTGCCGTTGCTGTTGTGACAAATCACTCCCGAGTCAGTGGCTCCAAGCAGCACGATTCTCTCAGCTTTGCTGTGAACCTGGAATTGCTCTAGAACAGCCCTAGTTAAACGCACACAGTTACTCCCTCACGTTTGGGGCTCAGGGGTCTGTCTGACCCGGGTCTCGGGCTTGGGCTGCCCGGGCTCCTGCCTCCAGAGACGCCGGCGTCAGCCTGGGTCCCTGTCTGTGGTCATGTGCTCTCCCCTCTGCGGTCAGGGCCTCCCTCTGCCTCCCTCCCGTGGAGACCCTGTGGTGACCCGGGGGTCGCCCCCATCCTGGGCTCCTGCACGTAATCCCTTCTGTGGAGCCCCTGCCACGCGGAAGGCAACGTAGTCACAGGTACTGGGGAGCAGGACGTAGACATCTCGGGGGGCCACCGTGGGGCCTCCCACACCTACACAGCCATGGAAGAAGCCACCATGGAGCGATCCGCACGGGCGGCCTCCGGTGACCACAGCCCGGCCCGGTTTTCCGCTGGATTCTGCAGTCATGCCCGGCCCCTTCTTCCTCTCTGTGCCTTTTCCACTAGACAAGTTTCGGGTGATCTGAACGCCCCCCAGAAAAGCTAGACACGGGATCCCGTGGGACCATGGCCACTCTCCCTGGAGCCCGGCCGGCTCCCCACGTCCTTCTCGCGCCGGGGCCCTGCTGCCCGGGAACCTGTCTCGGGGCGTGCGGGAGGCACAGTGGCTGGTGGGACAGGTCGGCCAGGAGCCGGAGGCCCCTGGGAGCCTCCCCACGTTGCTTTGTGACCGGTGTGGACTGGTCTGGCCTGGGGGAGGGCTGGCTTCGCGCTTCCCCTGTGCCCCTCCGCAGAGGGAGGGCGGGACAGGTTCTAGGGCAAGTGAGTCACTGCCCTCCTCGGTGTCCCTTCCAAACTTTTTTGGGGGCGCGCGTCACAGGCTCCATTACTGAGATGGATGGAATGAGTTTGCGACGAATATGGAAAATGAATAGCCGAGCTCCAAATGGGCTCGCTGGGAGAGTCGTGGAGCCCACGGAGAGAGCATTAATGTGTTGGCGCGTTATTGGTGCTAATCACTTAAAATGTGCGCCTTTATTAGAGCTTTAATGAGAGCCACTTAAACTGTGCATTAAAAAGAACTGCAGAGAGGCCGCGGGCCGGGCGGCAGGGGCCATAACTCTAATTGAAACGCTTTTAGCACAGAGGAAAGTTGCTGGATTCAGTAATCCCTCGCACTTTCCAGAACCTGGCAGTCGTGTCCTGGCTGGCGGGCGCCCCACCCCCCACCCCCGACACCGTGACTCTGTCACTTGGAAGCCCTCCTGCCCCAGCAGGTGTGTGTGGGTGGTGGGGGTGGGGCCGAGCGCTGGCTCACAGCACGCACGCACGTGGGAGTGTGCCCTCTTTGGCGACCCGTGGGGACGTGCGCTGGCCTGGAGGCCGGGGGCCCGAGGTCTGGGTCGGCTCCCGGCAGGATCCCTGGGCGGGCCGGCTGTGCCTGGGGGACAGTCCTGGAGGGAGCGGGACCTTGAGAACCCGTCCTGCACCTCACCGAGACTGTGCCGTCTCTCGGTCGTGGTTTGGGTGAGAGGCCCAGGACCTTTGCGTGGGATCCCGGGGCCGGCTTTTCTTTAACTGCTAGACCCACGTGTCATTGATTTGGGCCCACTGGTGACTTGGAAAGGTCTCCGAACTGTGTTAAACACGGTTCTAAGCAAGTAGAACTGACAGTCTGACTTCTGTACATTTACAAACGTCGCTTTACGTGTTTTTAAGTTTATTTATTTTGAGAAGGGGTTGGAGGGGCCGAGAGAGAAGGAGAGAGAGAGAGAGAGTCCCCAGCAGGCTTTGCGCTGTCGGCACGGAGCCTGACGCGGGGCTCAAACTACTAAACCGGGAGATCGTGGCCTGAGCGGCAACCAAGAGTCGTCGGGTGGTTAACCGACGGAGCCGCCCAGGTGCCCCTGCACACGTTGTTATAAACTGGCTGCGTGCCATTCGGGGAGACAGAAAGCGTCCCCGGGCGGGAACTCAGAGCCCCTCGTGTGTCACAGACGGTCAGGGGTGGACGCAGCCGCAGGCCGGGTCGGGTTGTTCGGCCCTTTGCCCGCCAGACTGAGGGCCTCAGAGGGCCAGTTGGCAGCTGGAGCCTCTGTGTCCTTGCCTGCCGTGGGGACCGTGTGTGCGAAGAGCCCAGGCAGAGCCCGTGCCCGCGCTGAGGCCTTCCTTCCTCTTTGTCCGTGACTTGCTTGTGTGGGGGGCACGGCCGTGACTTCCGGTGTGAGCGTGTCCTTCCTGCGTCCCATCTCCCCGGCTACACCAACGCACTGGCTGAGCGACTGCGCCCGTGCGACGCGGCACGGGTTTTATTTGGGGGGTGCTCAGGGGGGAGGCCCGCACCCCATCTGTGACTTGGGGCGCACCGTGTTGCACAGCTGGGCTCTGGGCTCGCTGACTGGGGGTCTGAGGGGCTGCCTTCCCGGCCACCAGCAGAGCACGTGGCTTTGCGACGAGGTCCTGTGCGTTTCATTCCCTCGGAGCCGGGGGGGGGGGGGGGCCCACCACACCCCGTGCCTGATTGGGGGAAGGCGCCGCCCACAGAGAGGCCTTCCCAGCGCCACCCGACAGGCTGATGCCCATCTTTTCTGCTCTAGGGTTCTTCCCCGGGAGCTCCCAGGGCTGTGACGCCTTCCTGCGGCACAAGATGACCCTCATCTCGCCCATCATCCTCAAGAAGTACGGGATCCCGTTCAGCCGGGTACGTAGGTGCTGCTGGGGCGTCTGGGGCTGCGGCTCAGGGAACCACCAACGTCCCGGGAAACTGGCTGCTCACCCCTCAAGAAGGTTCTAGAGCACTGGCAATCCAGAGGAGAGTGGGTTGGCTGGGCTGGGCTGTGGTGGGGGGTGAGGATGGAAGAGGGGGGAGTCGAGTGGGGCCTCGCCTTGCCTCCCAGCCCCTCGCGGACCCAGTCCCTTGTCTGGCGGGGCTGGCAGCTGCCAACAGGGCCCTGCAGGGTCAGGGTGGCGGGGGAGGGGCGGCTCCTGCCAGCTTCCCAGGAAGCCCCCGGAGAACCGGGCAGGCCTCTCCGCGCCCCCAGACGCCCCGACTTGGCCCCGATCTCTGGCCCCACCCCATGGCCCACTGCAGACATCCTTTGAGAGAAGGAATGCCTGTTTGGAAATGATCTATCTGGCTCTCCCGCAGCACGAAGACTGCGAACTCATTCAATTTACCGCTCCAGGGGCCGCTCCGCTCCTCCGGGGAAAGCCTGTGACGCATGAGGCCTGAGGCTGGGGAATCTGGGTGGCTGGCGGGGACCCTGCAGGGGAGGGGTGGGGGAAGGGGGAGGCTGGGCCTTTGTCCGGGGCTCTGCCCGGGGGTGGGGCGCTTCCCCACAGACAGGCCTCGTGGACAGGATCGGACAGGATCGGACAGGATCGGCCGGGCCCGGCTCCCCGAGGGGGACGTGCCTGCAACCTTCGGGCAGCCTCTGGGCTGGGCACCGAGGGCCAGCCGGAGAGGAAGAGGCTCCCGAGGGTCTGATTCCTGAAGGCCTCCCTACGAGAGCGTCTGTCAGGCGTGGGGGCAAGTTGCGCGATCGGGACCCTCGCGCCGCATTCTTGCCGCGAGCGTCAGCGAGTCGGAAATCGCTTCTGACATTTCGATCAGACCGCCTGCAGCCATGGTGCTCAGGTCGGGGATTCGCTCTCGCTGTCGGGCTCGTCCATCAGACAGCGGGACGGGACGTTCTGCCGTGAGAGACACAGGGCTTCCGTGCCTTCCGCTCCTCCCCTCCTGGTTCCAGCGCCCCGGCTGTCAGGAGAACGGACACAGACAGCCCTGCTGGCGGAAGTGAGAAGGGCGTGCTTTCCCGCGCTCTGTGGAGAACGTCCTCCCGGGCGCCGCTTCCTAGAGGGAGATGCCGGCCGGAGGGGTGGGCTGGCGGGGGCACCCTCCCGTCTCCCGCGTCGCTGCCCACGTGGGCACTGCTCTTTGTGTACGGAAGGCGGGGCCGCTGGCCTCAGAGGCCCCGCTCCCCTCACCCCTGCCCGGCCGTCTGCGGGGCCTGCGGGGCGAAGGCCGCGGCCGGGCCAGCAGGGAGCGGCGTCGGGCTCCAGATGAATGCCCCGTCTGGGTCCTCATCTGAATTCCTGGCAGCCCTGGGGGGGAGGGCCTCCCGCCCTCCGCTTATAAATCTTCGTAATGGTATTTACTTCTGGAAGAAAAAGCAGATCAATAGCAGAGCTCTTTAATAATTAAAAGTGTGTATTTCTGTAATCTGCCACGGACTTCCTCATTTATTCTGCGAGAGCTCGAGGAAGCAGCTGAATTCAGGCTTTCTCCATGACTGGCGTCTGGGGCTGGCATTCCCTTCACGGCTTGCATCCGTCATCCCAAGTGCCTTCTAATTTATCGTCGGGATAACGTTGACGGCTGTGACACGGAGGACAGACGCTGCGGGCTCGAGACGAAGCCACCAGGATGTAGAGTTGGGTGACAGGAACATGATTTCCTTGCCATCCTCACGGAGCGCATCTGTTCTGGGCCTTGGTCTGTGGAGGGGTCGGCAGGGAGAGCGGGCTCTAAAGTCTGCCCGAGGCACCTGCCCGCGCCGGGCTCCCAGAGCCCGGCCTCCCAGGGACCCTGCAGTGAGGCCCCCCCCCCCCCCCCCCCCCCCGCCCCACCATGGGGCTCCCAGCCTGTGCCAGGCCCCATAGGCGAGGACGCTTGGAGGAAGAGGGGGATGGTGCCGTCCAAGGTCAGCTCAAAAACGATAAGAAGATCAGTAATCACATTCTAAAAGAAAACAAAAATTCTACATTATGATTTTATTTGCAACCCGTTTCACGCGATCCTGTGACAGGAGCCGGCCCAGAGCATCCTTGCTGTGGACGGGGGTTGCTGGGGCCCTGGGGACCCTGGGTGTTCTCTCTCCGCCCCCGTCTCCCGCCGTGTGTGCGCTCCATCCCCCACACGCCTGTCACTTGGACAGGAATTTAAAAATATAACTTAATGCACACTGACTTCCCTTGATTGGTGCAATTCATTACTTGAAAAGAAAAATATCTCCGTGTTCTTAAGGACTGGCTTTTCTCCAGGCTGTGTCGGCTTTGATTGATTTTTGACGCTGTGGTTGGCTTCTGGAAGTCTCCCGCCCCCCCATCTCCCGCCTGCCCCCACCCCCTCAGGGTTCGACTTCTTACGGGCTACTTAAACGAATTCAGCAAGTTTTACTATTCATCTCTCTGGAGGAATAAATAAAGATTAGCAAGCTTGAGCACTCCTCCAAAGCCACAGTAGAAAGATGAACAGCCGGGTGAGTGGGGGCAGAAGGAGACACTTTGCAGAAGGGGACAGACACACCCGTCCACCTCGGGGAGAGGCGACCGAAGCCGGGAGATGCTGCGGCCCACCCGCAGGCGCGGCGAAAATCCACACTCCCACCACCGGCAGCAGGGACGCAGACGGGCGGCCGCTGCAGAAAACCCGCCGGGCAGCTGCCTGGGAACCTCCACCTCCTGCCCCCCGGAGACCCCGCAGGAACACAAGCACACGTCCGTCCGTCCGTCTGTCCGTCCGTGTGCGCAGCCTGGAGCACAGCGCCCCCTGCAGCCGTCCTCGCCAGAGCCCCGCACCAGAAACAGCCCAGCAAGGGGAGCCGATGAGCAGACAGCGACGCGGCCACACGACGGAATACCCTTGGGGACCGGGAGGGTCCGAGGGCCTCGAAGACGCACCGAGGACAGAATCAGACACAGGAGCGCAGTCCGAGCGAGGCCGTTGAATGAAACCCTAGAAAGAGACGTACCCCCCCGGTGACAGAGGCACATCTCCCAGGTTGGGGATCGCGGGCGGCAGGGGGCTGGCTGCCCAGCGTGGTCTGTTCCTGTGTGGGGCGCTGGTTACTCAGAACTCCAGACGACCTGTAACCACTCGGACTCTACATTGTCACTCCCTCGCCGCCAGCCTCGGTTTCCACATCCGTGGATTGGGCCACCAGCCCCGCCTGTCGTGTTCCGGGACAGTGAGAGAGAATAGTGCTCACGGAGTGGGGCCAGGGGTGCGGCTGCAGCCCCGACCTTTTTCCTCCAGGCCTGGGAGTGGAGGTTCCAGAAGCCTGTCTGGGCTCATTGTGGGCGCTCTCCCCCGTCACTCACACCCAGCTCCTTGGTTTGGGGTCTGTTTGAGAGATCGGATCAGACCATTTGAATAGTCTAGAAACGTCAGCTCATGTGACACAGTTCCGACCTTGACATTGTGTCCTTACAACATGCTTACAACGTGTCATATACCATGTTTCTCACTGGGAAGGAGCCACCTCCCGGGATATGAGGGACGGACCGTGTCTTATGACGGCCAGAAGACCCGGGTCATTTTCCAGGAATGTTTTTATGCAGCTGGATGTTTTTTCCTCACAAGGGCTAGAAAGACCCTGTACTTTGAGCACGCCCTGTCCTGCGCCCGAAGGGTTCTGCGGCTGCGGCCAGTGCTGTCTGCACCTCCTCACCAGCCCCCGATGCTGTATCAGAACATGGACGGCAGACGGGACAGGGCCACCTACCTCCAGACCAGGAGACCCCTTCCGTCCCTGCAGCCGAGAGCGCCCAGAGGCATAGCATTGAATAGCCCCGTGTGTCTAGAGGGTGTCTTTTTTTTTTTAAGACTCTTTATTTATTTTGAGAGAGAGTGCTAGTGGGGGAGGGGCAGAGAGAGAGGGAGGGAGAAAGAATCCCAGGCAGGCTCCACACTGTCAGCACAGAGCCCAGCACAGGGCTCGATCCCGCGGACCTTGAGATCATGACCTGAGCTGAAACCAAGAGTCCGACACTCAACCGACTGAGGCCCCCAGGCGTCCGCCCCGCAAAAAACAGAGCGCCTATCACCTTGGGGTACGCCACCCTGGGCTCCGGTGCGCGGCGGGCCACGGCAGAGCTCTCCTCCTGGCCACGGCCGTGCCTGCTGTATAAACCGTGTGGGAGATCGGCTGGGGCCCGTGCAGTGGGGCTACCCTCCACCGGGCAGACCTCCGCTCGCTCCCGACGTCGGGGCTCCCTGGCCCTTGCTGGGAAGTCCTTGATCCCACGTGCCCCTGCTGTACTTGGCGGTGGCTCCTGGTGGCCTTGGCCACCAGCCTGGCCTGGGCCGGCGTTGCTTCTGGTAGGTGAGCCGAGCAGCGAATGCCATTCCTAACTTGGCCTCGCCCCTCAGCTGCTGGCTCCCCACTCACCTGTCCCTTTCCCCCCTCAGATCACGCAGGAGGCCGGGGAGTTCATGATCACGTTCCCCTACGGCTACCACGCCGGGTTCAATCACGGGTTCAACTGCGCGGAATCTACGAACTTCGCCACCCTGCGGTGGATCGATTACGGCAAGGTGGCCACTCAGGTAAGTGCCCGCAGGCCCCGTGACAGGGCCCCCGTGGCGGTCGGCCCCCCTCAGCCTACCCCCTCGGACCGGGGCCCCTGCAGCCTCTGTTTCTACTCGGCAGGGGGGCCTGGCCTCTCCATCCGGGTCTGTTTCCGGGATCCTCCGGGAACTCCTCCCCAGCACGTTCCTCGCCTGGAACGGACAGGGAGGCGGCAGGGGGCAGGTGGGCGGGTGGGTGGGTGTCCGCCTGGAGCCTGGGACCTGTGGCCGAGGGCTTTCCCTCCTGGCAGACTCTACTGTCTGGGCCCGAGGACTTCCTGGTGGTCTGGGCTGTGCATGGAGGTCACTGGGGGACAGGAACACACTCCTCTGATTCTCCTCCCGAGAATTTCCTGCTCTGTTCTAAGAGGGCCGGTTACTGGCCGACAGATTTGACATCTGAACTGAGTTCTTGTTCCCAAATGCCCTTGGCTCCACACGTACCCGTCTGTGTGGTTTTCATTGACAGCTCGAAGGGTGGCAGGTTCCTGGGAGCTGCTGGGCACAGGTGGGCTCGTGTCTACCTGCCTCCCTCCCTCCACTCGCTCCCTTGGCTCCCTCTGGGGCCCGAGACGGCTCTGGGAGCCCGGCGACGGGATATACACATCCCAGACCCCTAATTAGTGGGGGGTTGGAGCCTAGGAGGCAGCAAGGAGGGGCTGGTGGTGGGCGCACAGCTGCTTGGACCAAGGGCCTTCCTCCCAGGACTGCCACCGAGGCCCGAGGCCCCTGTCCCGGCCTCAGCACAAGATGGCAGTCTTCCCGTCAGGCTGGGCTCGGGCTTTGGCCCAGGGTTTTGGCCCCTCCGGCCTCTGCCCACTGCAGACAGACCCGGTTACTCACGGCTCCCTAGTGCTGGGGGCACCCGGCACAGGAGAGTCCCCTCCGGCGAGGCCAACGCGGCATGAAAATGGGGTGCCTCCCGCCAGGCTCCCAAGTGGGAGCCTGGGGGCTCCCCCGAGGAATTGCTTTCGGTTGCTTCCGAGTCAGGGCCCGGGACCAGGGCAGACGGTGCATTTCCCACCAGATCCAGAAGTAGGGGCCCGGTGGTGATGAGTGCGTGGCGGCTGGCCGCGTGTGGGTGTCGTGGCCGCGAGCTGAGAGCGTAACACGCACGCTGTCCGAGGTTCTGCATAACAAGGGGCGTGAGATGTTGCACAAGTACTCGGTAGTGCTGCTTACGTAGGCTGTGTTTTTAGATAGATTGGGTGAAACGAAATGCTAAAGTGAACGTCACCTGTTCCTTGTTACCGTTTGACCGTGGAGACCAGACAAACGAAGATCGCGCAGGTGGCTGCGTTCTGTTTCTGGTGGGCAGCTCGGGCCTCGATGAACTGGCTAACCTTTGTTCTTCTAACCCCCCGTGCCTCTAGCTCCGCGGTTGGAGTGCGGTTTAGAAAAGGACGCGGGCTTGGGGCGCCTGGGTGGCGCAGTCGGTTAAGCGTCCGACTTCAGCCAGGTCACGATCTCACGGTCCGTGAGTTCGAGCCCCGCGTCGGGCTCTGGGCTGATGGCTCAGAGCCTAGAGCCTGTTTCCGATTCTGTGTCTCCCTCTCTCTCTGCCCCTCCCCCGTTCATGCTCTGTCTCTCTCTGTCCTAAAAATAAATAAATAAAAACGTTGGAAAAAAAAATTTAAAAGAAAAGGACGCGGGCTTTGTTGGAAGGAGGCTGGAGAGGCCCTCTGGGGGTTTAAGCGTCGGGATTTTTAGCGGCGGGGGAGGGTGTCTCTGGCAGAGACACTGGCTTCGCTCAAAGAGAGACATGTAAAGGAGCCACCGAACGTCCCGGGTGGGGGTGTGGTTCTGCGTGGACGACCGCAGGCCGCTGTGGGTGGTGAGAGGAAGCTCGGAGAATTCCAGGGGCCCGTGCGCAGAGCCCCTGCCGCGGCGTGAGCCGCGATGGAGTCGTAAGGTCTGGACGAGATCGCAGGCTTGTCCTCTGGAGGTGCTGTCGGAGCCGAAGCCACAGTGGGGCCGGCAGGGACTGCCCGGATATTAAAAGCAATCTTGGGTTCAGCCGTGTGTTCACAAACAAGTGACATTTGGGAAGTGCCGTCTTAGATTGGGCCTCCACGCTTACATTGCCGGGCGGCGTAGCGTGAAATTACCGAACAAGTGGAGCGCGGTGCTCCGCTCAAGCCGGGGTTCGGGCGGGCGGCCGGGCCCCGTGCCGGGCTCCCTCGCGGGGCCACCCCAGCTGCCCGGTCCTGTGGTGGGAAGGCGGGGGGGGGGGTTCCGCCGGGAGCAGCCCTTGGCCGTGGCGCGGCAGGCCCTGCGGTCCGGGACATCAGCTCCCAGCCAGGGGATGGGGGCGGCAGTTTCGGCCTCCTGCAAGCCTCGCGGCCCCGTAGAGAGTCCAGTCCAGGCAGGAGAGGCGGCTGGCCGTACGGATGACCGCCGAGGCATGTCCGAGGCAGGACCTGGGAGGGGCAGGGAGGTTGTTCGGGTCAGATGGTTCTCGGGGACCTGCTACGTCCTTGGCCGCACTTTAGGGAATGGAGCGTGGGGCTGGGGGAGGGTTCTAGCATGATTTTCCTCAGCCAGGGCTTCTCCCTGCCAGCCTGAGCTGCCCACCCCCATCTCTGCTTGGGCCAGTTCCTTCCAACACCTTCCTCAGACCCCAGGGAGAAGCGTTCCCATTTTCCAGATTTTAGAGACTTTTCACTCGGTTCTCAGGTTGTTCCTCTTCTCCCGGGCTCCCTCCGTGCTGGTGCACGAGAAACCCAGCTCTCGGGCTTGGCTGGCCTCTGTCAATGTCAGGAATTCATGTGCTTTCTCCTTCTAGAAGAGGGGTCTGCAAACCCGGGCCCACGGGCCAAATTTGGCAGGCTGTTTTTGCGTGGTCTGCAACCTGAGAATGGTTTTTACATTTTTCTAGAGAGTCGTGCAAAAAACCAAACCAAAACAAAACAAAACAAAAAACAACAAACCCAAAAAACAAAAAAAGTCACAAGAAGAACATACAGCACAGCAGTTCGGTGAAACCCAGATTTCCGGTTTATAAATAAAGTTTTATTGGCACCCAGCCACGCCCATTCATTGACACGTTGTCTCTGGCTGCTTCCGTCTGTGACGGCGGAGTTGGGCAGTTGTGACCGAGACCACCTGGCCTGCAGAACTGAAGGCCGTCGCCTCCCGGCCATTGAAGAGCAGTGAGCTGTCCCTGGTCTCGAGGATCGATGGTGCGGGCGGGCCCTAGCCTTTCCTGCCAGCGCCGGCTCCGGCCGGTCAGGGCTGACCCGTTGCCTCCCGCGCCCTTTCCCAGCCCCCAGGGTCTCTGGCGTCAGAGGGGCTCCCCTCTCAGGCAGGCTGGCCTCCCGGCCCCGAGCGCCACACCCAGCACCGCGGCGGCTGCCTCTGCCTCGAGAGCTTCTGGATGGGCCGGGGAGGGGGCTGGTGGGCACGGGGAGATGTCCTCCGGAAGAGCGTCACTGACCGGACCTCCCGTGGCGGAGCAGGAGGCCCAGGCCTCGGGTGCTGGTCGGCCCCCGCGGGCCAGACGGGCTCCCAGGTTCCTCCGGGCGGGAAAACCCCAGAGGAAGCCCAGGCTTTGCAGCCTCTTGCCAGAGAGCTCTAGGAGGGAGCTCCCCCGGGCCTCGCGGCCAAGGTCCGGGTTCGAGTCGCCGTGGTGTTTCGGTGTCTGCCGTCCTCCGTGGTCTTCCTTCCTGAGCCGCTTGGCTGGCGCTAACGTTTCCCACCCATCGGCCTCCGGGAGGAGAGCCTCGAGGGCTGCCGGGACCCTCCCGGGCCCGCGCTGTGGGGGGACGGGCAGGAAGACGCCGCCTGCCTCTGTGTCCCACCCTCCTGCCAGTTTGTGGATCGCGTGGCCCAGTCACCGAGGCCCCCCGCTTCCCTGGCTTCCGGTCTCACGGGCGCAGAACGGGGGCTCCTTCTGGGCCGGAGGGTGGAGGGGGATGGCCCCCACCCACTGCACTGCCAGCAACGAGCGGCCAGGGTTTTGTGTAATTAAGGAGAACGCAGCTGGGGGGCCAGGGCGAGCGGAGACCGCTGAGTCCCTAAGGGTCAGGGCCGGGACTCCGAGGAGGGAGCAGCGGTGACAGGGACGGGGCTGGGGGGACTTCCTGCCCGCTCCACCCGCCCCGGCGAGGCGGAAGGACGGGGCCGGGCACTCTGAGGGAAACATTCGGAACCCCGCTCTATGGATGGACGGGCGGGGTGGGGGCGGGGGTTGCCCGAACGTTGCTAGATGTTAGCTTGACGTGGTGGAGTTCGGGTCCCTCGAAAACGTACGCTCTCAACGTGTTTCTTTTTTCTTTCTTCTCTTCTCTTTTCTTCTTTTTTTTACAACTCTTTTTCTTTGGAAAAACAAGCGTAGCTTTCCAGGGGAGGGGGGAGTGGTCTTGCCTTTCCTGGGTGCTTCCTCCGTAAATGCCCTGCAGCCGCTTCCAGGTTGGGCTGTTTGTCGTCGTGTTCCCGGTGGTTCTCTTGGTTTGTTTCATAAAGGGGAATTAGACACCAAACTGGGTCGCTTGAGCCCCAGCTCCCTCTCTCCCCTGCCAGATCCGAAACAAGGGGAGCGTGGAAAGGTATGTGCCAGACTCAGCATCCTGAGCGCTGCTGTGCTGAGGGTCCCGGAGGGAGCTGCACCCACAGGGAGAGGGTGACAGGTGGGCGGTGGGCCCCGGGGACCCCAGGACACTATGGGGCCTGCGCGCGGAGTGAGTGTGGGGCCTGTGCCGGTCCCCCACCCCCACCCCCACCCCCACCCTTCCCGGGTCACACGCAGCCCTTGCCGCGTCTGTTTTGAGCCCTGCCCTTCCTCGGCCGGACCCCTCCTCGGAGGAAGCACTGTCTCCCCTTTCCTTCCGTCTCTCTTCTTTTCTGTCTCCATCTCCAGCTTTACCGATGGCACCACCCTGCCTCAAGGTGACTCTGAACCTCGCGACCTCGCGAGGACCAGAGAGGTGAAGTGACTTTGCCAAGGTCACGGCAGCAAGAGGGCCGGGCCCAGAACGCCC